CGATTTATAATGGCACTATAATGAATTTCAGCACATTTCATATAGTATTGTTACGAATTAAATGCTTATCACTGCACTGCGGATTTGATGTGCTTATGAGAAAAATGAGTAAAGTTAACTTAATTTTTTATATTGAGAATCTAGATTTAATTTTCAATTTAAAAATGCTATTGTATTATTTTTGATATGTTCGTGTAGCTCTTGTACCTTATAATCAATAGAGAAAATGCTTATTTTGCATAAAAATTCGCAGTCTACTTATAACATAGTAAATTAATTGTTAGTTGACCGATGCTTTTCGCAATTGATATATGTATACTTAAAATATTCAAAATAATATTAACTACTTTACGCTTATAATTCTTTCCACGAATTACGTGACTTTCACTTGGTACAATATTTGACGAAATTTACAAATTAACGTATTGTGTACCCATATTAACGCAGAGAAGCCTCCGAAGCATCGACGCAGGAATTTGAATACGCCAGGCGTCTTTTTTGGCGGTGTAAGCGCGTTGAATCCGTGAGTTTTTAAGAGTTCGCGTGCAACAGTCGTCGATAAACCGTTCACCGCATCACTTCCAAGACTTTGTAATAAATCTTCTGCTGTACGGAGGTGAACGTCTGTTTCGATATCCCGGCGAAGAGATCCTAGATTATTAGAAACTCGCTGTTGCCTCCGCTTACCAAAATATCGGGATATTCCCGTAAAAGCACGACACATTGCACGTCTTGCTAAATGAAAATTAAAAGAAAAATATGCTTAATATAAAAATAGTCTCGATAACCAAGATGTGTAATTAATTATAAAATACTATATCGAGATATCGATACACCGATCTTCGAACGATCATGTATCATACTTCAATTGTACTCACTGAAAATGTTTGCTGTGTATTCAGAATTATTTAAAATAAAAAATTAGCCAAGCATAGTTTTATTTTTATTTTTTACAACAGATTTATTTATTTATCTATTCTTCGCTTGTAAATTTATTTATAGTCATTTGTTTATTTACAAAGGTAAGAAACTCTAAATTGTTAATAGGTGAGTAGCTCTTTTCTGTTAAATATCATATCTGTCTATGACTAAAAATATTGGAACAGAATGATAATGTTAAATAATTACATGCATCCAAAAATTCTTTTTATCATTTTCACATTGAATCAAAACTGTATTGTTCAGTTTCA